GTTCTGTATTTAATAACACGGCCTAATGAAAAACAACCTTTATAATTTTTGTAAATACTGATAGGTAATATGGTTGATTAGTTACCGTGTATAAAGATGTTATAATAATAATAATAATAATAATAAGAAAGCCGCCATATTTGTTTTACTGCCTGTTCGCAGGCGTACAGCCCTAATTAGTCGACCTGAGTGTCAGTATGCGCATCAGCATAAAATATACTGGACAAAATTTGTGCTAAGTCACTAATGGGACATCTGGTTCATTATTTAACCTGTGCAGGTGAGTTCGGCGAAATACAAGTGATATCGAAAGCTCACCTGTCCGGAACCAATCAGAAATCCGCTATATAATTAGGATAAATATGCGATCAGCATAAGATCTTGTCCGCAATATAAACGTCGACATCACTTATGATCAAGCAAAGATATGCAGAGTTGGGCGATATTTTAATATATCAATATTATCGCACTATTTTCACTCATGATTGTCGTATGGAAGATAGAAACTTGATACACGACGATGTAATTATATCGTTATAGTTGATGATTATCAATGATTATCGTGATATTGGTTCGCGTGTACACCTTTGCTGCGGTGGATCAAAGATATGGATTGGTTCACGAGTACAGCTTTGTTGCGGTGGATCAAAGATATGGAACTCATTACCAATTGAAATAAGGAAATCCAAGTCACTCAAAATCTTAAAAAATAATCGCAATTAGTAAGTTGGTATGTAAATAAGCTGTAATTTTTAATATATTGTAACCGTGTGCGCATTCAGAGTAAAATCCCACGGAAAAAGGCCAATAGCAAAATGGATCTACCAAAAGCCATCTTTTATGACAGTTCTCTGAACTTATTTCTTTGGATTACATGTGTATTCATCTGCTGTGGCTCAACACAGCATACAGTTCACAGGACCGATGCACTCAAGCGTATCGATCAAACAGCTGTGGAGCTTCAACACGAAAGAGTACATCGGGAGATCACTGGTAGTGATTCCCAAAGCCGCTGCGAAAGGAATGAGACAGTATTTCAGAGCGGAAAGTGGAATTTTTGTTATTATGACTACGCCTGCTTTAAAATTTTCTCGGATTGCTGCCCGGACTATGTACGAGAATGTGGCCGACAGGAATTCCACGCACCGAAAACTTCGACTATGTCTTGGAAATGTGTCCAGTGGAAATGGTTGACGGTTTGGTCGGCGGCACTCGAAGGAGTTGTTGGCGCTTGGATGGTTTACAAATGCCCTCCAAACACGACCTCCGACGAGCTGAGAGCGAAATGTGAGAAGGCCTCGGAGAAATTTTCGTATCCCGTAGTGGATTTTATCCCGGTAGTCGGGGCGAATTCCCTGACGTTCCGAAATAAGTACTGCGCTTTGTGTAATGGGATGGAAAATTACACAGCGTGGAACGTTGGGGTTTTTACACATGTCGTACCACCCGAGGATTACGACTTGGATTCTAGGCTGAGGTTTATCCTTCAGAATGGGGGATATATTGATCATATTTCACCCGAAGAGGGACAACCTCGAAGATATTGCTATGGTAGAAATTATATGGACAACTGTAGTTCAACAAACGACACCTCCTACAAGGCTTGTGTTAAAGGTCCGGTCGAAGTCGTGACAAGTAGAGATTATTTGTACTTTAAGAACACCGCATGTGGAGTATGTAACGGATATCCTGGGCTTACAGGATGGTTAATGGCGGCAAGGCTCAGTCGCAAACCTGAAGGATTTTCGATTGCGTTTAAGTTAACAAACGCAGGTGAAAGACCATCTACTACTATAGTCTCCGAAAAATGTCCCTCCGGAACGGTTTATGATACAAACCTAAAGTTCTGTCGCGAAGGCTACATTATTGCATCCAGCACTGGTCAACAAACCAACGAATTCTTGATATTGTTGTGGTTAAGACAGCCGGCTAGAGGCGAAATAAACTCGAAGCTGGAAACCGATTTAAAATCAGCGTTGGCTTCACACTTTTCTCTTCAAGCCAAACAAATTTCAAAAAGTACTCTTCATAAACAAGATGCAGCGAATACTTTTATCGTTTGTACTTTTCGTTTAACGTTGACGCCATTTCAAAGTTTAATAATGGACAACCAACACACGGCCAACTTAAATATCACCCGCGAAAACCATGCGTTCTTGGAACTTTTGAACTTTACACAAAATGTTACCGTTACTTGGAAAAATTACGGTTTCCATGTGGTCAGTGTGATTTCAAAACGACTTTCATGTTATGGGGGAAAGAAATTGCAATCGCATGAATACAACATAGTGAATGAAACAGGAGAATTAGTCGTCGAAACTGGGGAAGTATTTTCGTTAAATGATTATGCTCTACTGATAGTAGACGGAAATAATACATTATGTCGAAGACTGGTCCTTTCAGATTGCAGAGAGGGTGCTTACGTTCCATTAGTTCCAAATGAATACGTGATTTTCCCTAATTTGTCAGTTTATCACAATGCAACGAACAGTGTTTTTAACTTCGGAGAGTATCTAATCAATGAAAGATTAAGCCAAAGAAATAACAATATCCTTAATGATACTCAAAACTCAAGAAACTCAACAATTGCCGTTTGTTTACCGTATAAAAATTCTTTCAACAAAACCAAAACAACACATAGTATAAACACGAAAAGTTACGGACTGCGAATTCTGACATCAATTGGTCTGAGTGTTTCGATAATCTGTTTGGCATTTCTTTTGATCACTTATGGATTATTTCAGGAATTAAGAACTGTTCCAGGATTGAATTTGATGAATTTGAGTTTCTCAACGTGTCTGTCACAAGTTATATGGTTGATAGGTACCGCTGTTTTTCAAGGAACAATAGTTTGCGAAGTCTTAGCAATACTGGAACACTATCTTCTACAAGTATCCTTTTTGGCCATGTCCATCATTTCACATCACACATATCACGTTTTATCACAACCTTTCGTTGGGAGAACTGCCAACACATCGTGGCGAAGGTTCCTCAAGTATTCAGCATTCCTGTGGCTAACTCCTGCTGTATTTGTCGCAGTTTGTGTCGCCTTGGACAAAACTGAAGTGTTCCTAGTGAATTATGGAATTAATTACTGTTGGTTGGGAACTGCAAATGCTAAGCTGTATTTATTCTTATTACCCCTGGCAGTATCACTACTCTATAATATCTACAAATTTATCCAAACAGCAGTCAGTTTATCTCGTCATGCTAAGGACAGAGAGATCTTACAACACAAAGAAGAAAAACAGAATCTTCTCATCTGCACAAAACTTGCAACTTTAGTCGGTTTTCCCTGGCTGTTTGCATTCATTGGCGTGCTGTTTCCCGATGTAGAAGCATTCGACTATTTGTTTGTTCTTTTTGTTTGTTTACAAGGATTGTATGTAGGAATGGCGTTCCTGTTCAACAAGAAAACACTGAAACTGTATAAGGATCGATGGAATATTGGCTCCAGAGGAAATAGACCTTCTCATACCGGTACCAAAGAAAGTTTTGAATTGCAAGCATTGAAATCCACTTCGACGGATCCAAAAACTATTTCTGTATAATGTGTCGGCTATTCTTAAAATATGAAATTAAGGAAAACAGAGTCTTCTCATCTGCACAAAACTTGCAACATTGGTAGGTTTTCCCTGGCTGTTTGCATTGGTTGGTGTGTTGCCCCAGTCCCCCCCCCCCCCTCGCATGTACAGCTATTCGAATATTTGTTTTGTTGTTTGCGTTGTTTACAACGATTGTACATTGGCACAACCTGAGTATCAGGCTCTATTTTACAAATAGAGCCTGACACAAAACTTAACCTGATCGCTTTCCACCCACAGCAAAGTTTATATTTAGTATCCAATCAAAATGTCGCAGGAGAAATTTAAATTTCACACAACGACAACAACAATCTAATTATAGCATAGGCAGCCCACTAAACGGCTAAATTTAAATTAAAACTGCAATGAACGGCTATTAGTAAAACACGGAGCACGGAGCACACGGAGCACGGAGCACACGGAGCACGGAGCACACGGAGTACGGAGCACACGGAGTACGGAGCACACGGAGCACGGAGCACGGAGCACACGAAGTACGGAGCAGTAGAAAAACGAAAATCCTTTATAATAAAATACACTGTTTACTATTACAATTTTTTGTTATTATTAACAAAGCGGTTTTTTCGCGTATTACACGTTGGGGAAGTAGGAAAATGGGGCTTTTACTGAAAAACACATATGATGCAAAACCAGGCTGCCAAAAGCCATAGTATT